TTTATTGGTTTTCACACAATCACTGATATACATTGTGTTTCATGCATGTACATTGTATTTTATAGAATCATCCATATACCTTGTATCTTATATAATTAATTAATATTGATACATGTCTATCATTACCCTGTCTTTTCTATTTTTTTTAAATGATTTCTTCATTGTTGTAAAAAGTTTTTTTTAAAAAAAACATTTTCAAACTAGGGAGCTCTGGTTGCCTAGTGGCAAGAAGCTGCAACTGCAATCCCGAAGACACTCAGTTCAAATCCACCAGATGCTCCGCTGGAGAAGGAGGGGCACTCTCCTCCTGTACCAGTTGGATCCAGTTTGACGGTACACACTCACAAAATAATAATAATTTTTTAAAAAATTTTAAAAAAATTCCCCAACTCCACAAAATAGAGGCCTGTTTGTGCCCTTCGTCTTCTCTGGTTGATCTCTTTGTCCCTTCTGTGACCAGCAGAGGGCCTCTGTATAGCTGGTGTGGACTTTGAACAAGAGGGGTGGTTGGGATTCAGCTTGAAAGCCTGGGGTTGTAGGTAACTGGGTCAGTTGGTCCCACTGGGCACCAGCCCCTTGAGTGCTCATGGTCACCATGACCTCAGTGGAATGAATGGGTTGCCATGGAAATTGGCCTTCCCTGTCCCCCAAGTCTCTTGGCCGTCCCTCAGGAGCCCTAGTTATCCCTTGGGTCGTTAACAGACTTCCCCAAGGCCTTTCTGGCTGGATTATTTAAGCTGGATAGTCCCCAGAGATCCTGCAAGCCACGCCTGCATTGGGCAGCCTGGCAGCCCGAGGCCCAGGGGCCCCAGGAACTAGCCGAGGTCCTTGCAGGGAGCCGAGTCTCAGAGCTGGGTTTGGGGCCCAGAGGGGCTAGCGCCAACCAGTCCAGGGAACTTTTTACTTGACATAGGCTTTCAGAGGGAATTCTGGGCCAATTCCAGAGCATTCACCATCCTTTGGAGGAGAATGGGCATCCACCTCCCTGGAATGTCCAGAACCACACAGTAACCGCTGACGTGGCCACTCGCCTCCTGTGCTTGGGGCACTTTGGAGTGCCTCCTTCAGTTGCTATGCGAACCCCATTGGGAAAACAGCCCCCCCAGGAGGCCGGGGATCACACAGCTGGTAGGGGGCAGGGCTGAGTCTGGGGAGTCTGCATCTGTGCTGTCTGACTCCAGATCCAGTGTTGGGGGCTCTCTTGCCTTTTTTTTTAAAAAAATGAATTGTTGTACATTTTCTCCCCCTATTCCTCCCCCAGCCCACCCTGCAATGTATTCCTTGTTCCAGATTGTTGTCATACGTATGTCTTGCCTTTAAAAAAAAACAAAAAAAACCCCACAAACCACCAAACAAAAAAAAAAATCCCGAAAAACCACCAAAAATTTTGTAGTTTTGGTGCAAGTATATGCAGCAGAACAGCTTCCCATTCAACCTTTTCTACATACATATTATTCAGTGGCATTAGCTACTGTCTTAGTTATCTGTTGCAGCTAGAGCAGAGATACCACCAGTGGATGCCTTCAGCAATTAGAAATGTATTCTCCTACAGTTTAGGAGGCTCAAAGTCCAAGTCCAGAGTGTCCCGCTTTGTCTGTCAGTTGTGGAGGAAGCCCCTGTGGGCCCCTCATTCCCTGGAGACCTTGTGTTCTGGCCTTCCGTGGTGCAAGGGGCTCAGGTCTGAAAGGACACACTCCACTCCTGACTGTGATTTCTTGGTGGGACTCAGGGTCCCTGTTCTTGGCTCTCTTTGTTTCTCCTTTATCTCTACTGAGATAAAGGGTATTACCTGGCCAAAACCTAAGGGAACACACCTTTCATCCCATTGAGGTTGTGATGAGATTAGGGAATGTTGCATTCCCTTCTTAATCCTCTACTACTGACTGTTTGGTTTATTAGGATCACAGAGATCACCACACAGCTTCCCCATTACGTCCATGTGTTTTGGGAGAACACAGTTCATAATAGTGTCATTTATCACGTCATGTCAACATTCTCACTGTTTCTGCATCTCAGTGTTCCACTCCATTCACTGTCCCCCACCCCAACCTTCTCATTCATACTTTAGAATAACTATTGGCCATTTAGGTCATTTTCTAAAAGCATATACTACTCAAGGGTGACCTTCTTGACTTTTGGAGCTAACCTGCTATTTAGTTAAAAGATGGCCCTCTGGGAGAGTTTCACTTCAAAGCTGAGAGTAGCTGGGGGCTGTAGTCTCAGGGATGCCTCTCGTTTAACAGACCCAGTGAGACTGGGCGATCTGAGCATTTGCATTTCTGTTCCACATTTTACTTCCTTTCTGCCAGCTCCCCTTGCTATGGTCCTCATTGGAATGCTTGGTTGTGGCAGCCAGGCTCCACCTGGCCTCCAGGTAGGACAAGTGCCATCAGCCCTATCAATAGGCTGCTTCTCTGATTCCTGAGTTCCCATCTTTTTCTTTTGCTCTGGACAAATAGAGATCAGCAGCTTACAGACTTTTAAGACCCTCGAGACGGTAGTTATTCACCATGTTGGGAGGTAGAGCATGAGCTTTAAGAGCTCTATTATGCCAGGTGACTGAATTGCTCCATGAGACTGCGACCTTAAGTCTATAATAAAACTAATCCTGTGAGGTGATTGCTTATGTCTAACAACTACTAGAGCCACTATTTGGAAGGGGTGTGTGTATGTCTGTGTGTATATGTGTGTGTGGGAACCTCAGCCAGCCTCTTTGCTTTTGAGTCGAAACCAGTTCATGTCTGACCCTCCAGTAATCTCAGTACATTTCCCATCTTTCTCCTTTGGAGCCACTGGTGGATTTGAACTGCAGGAGAGGTACTACCATTGGTTAATAGCACACTCCCTACCCACTAAGCCACCAGAGGTACTACCATTGGTTAATAGCACACTCCCTACCCACTAAGCCACCAGAGGTATAGTTACATAATTAGTTATATATTCCTAAGAATTTGCCACAAAATTATATATAACATTACATAGTTATATATTTCTAAGAATTTGCTACAAGATTATATATAACAAAACCTCAAAATGTATTGCTGTCAAGCTGGGAGTTTTAGAGCTGACCCTTCCTTGGGTTTCCAAGGCTGTAAATAGCTCAGGATGAGATTGCCCATCTTTTCCCCCTAAGAGCTGCTGGTGAATTTGAACCACCAGAGAGGCATGACTTTTGGGGCTAGCAACACAGCTCTCTTATGGACCATGCCACGGCAGCTCCAGTGAGAGACAGCATAGAATTGACCAATACATCCTTTTTTCTTGTGGACAACTTAGTGACATCAGTTACAGAAGCCAAGTTGTGTACACGTCCCTTTCCCATCACCCTAAATTAAATGCTTGTCTCACTCTTACCCATAGCATGCTTTGAGAATGGTTAAAGACTTTAGGTCTGGTGGGGCTGGCCAGAGTCAGGGTCAATATATAGTGATTTATTGTAATGTGTTCTAATCATGCCCGCACAATACCATTGAGACCCCTGCTTTATCCCCTGCTTTGCAGATGAGGACGCTGAGGCCCAGAGAGGGGAAGTGACTTGCCCGGGCTCACACAGCAAGGATTGTGGAGCAGGGCTTCTTGTCCAAGACCCCTGACTCCACTCCTGGTGCTCTGCTGAGATCGCAGGCTGCCTCCCAGGTCCTCTGGGACAGCCCCTGCTTTCCTCGAGGTAGGTGATGATGGCTCATTCAGGGCTGCTGAGATGAGGGAGCCGGGAGGGGCAGCCATGATGGGAGGAGACTCCAGCCACGCTTGGTGGGAAACAGAGTGAATCAGGGCGGTAGAACCACAAAGGGGTGGCAGGACCATGGGTGGCACATGGCAAGTATTCACCTTGATGTCCTCTGCTCTTCCCGTCTCTGGGTCTTACAGATATCCATCTCAGATATCTCAGAACTCTTGAATAATCACTCATTCATGCATTCATTAATTCATTCAACTTCTTTTTTTTGTAAATTATTTTTATTACTTTTTGTGAGTGTACCTCAAATCAGATCTGACTGGTACAGGAGGAGATTGCCCCTCCTTCTCCAGCAGAGCATCTGGTAGATTCAAACCACGTACCTCTGGGATTGCAGTGCAGCTTTTTACCACTAGTCCACCAGAGCTCCCTTTCATTCAACTTCTTAATGAGCACTTCCTGTATGCCTCAGCCTGGGCTAGGTACTGGGAACCCAACAATGAACAAGACACCCACAAGAGTGATAAAAGAATGGTACAAATGGAAAAGTCCTAACTGGGACACATGTTCTCAAGGAGTGGCATGAATGTCCGGGAGATTTGGCCCCATAAGAGGAGTCAGGAATATGTCTTGAAGGTGATTTTTGAGCTGAGGACTGAAGGAGGCATGCATGGGTTAGTTACCCTGGTGAAGTGGTCAAGGGAGAGCATTCCAGGCCTAGGGAACAGCATGGGTAAAGGTCCTGTGGCTAGAGTTAGCTCCTAGCAATCTCTCCTTAAATGCCTTTCAGCTGGGTCATTCCCTTGACCTGGGTCATTTAAACAGAAAGATCACTAGATCACTTCAAAAGAAAGAGCTGCTTTTAGCTTCTTCCTCTGGTGTTAGATAACTTCTATCAGGGCATCATAGTTTCTTTGAGTATGTGCTCATTTAATAATCCATCAAGGAGCTCCACTCTGCGCTGAGTCCTGGGGACATGGACATGACTTAGATACCACCCTGTCTGTAAACAAGGGGCAGCAACATTGACTTGAGGGGAGTAGGGGGCCCAGCGCTTCAGTTTATGTTTCTTCTGTGTCTGGCCCTGTACCAAGGAAGCCCTTTATAGAAGCCATCATTCCATTCTCATTTTAAAGGTGAATAAACCAAGACCCCCAGAAGCCAACTCACTGAAGATCCCATAGCACCCCGTTTTTGGACTTCCATTTTTCCATCTGTAGAATGGGTAGAGCTGAAACCCATTTAAGGGGCCCAGGAGGCCCTGCCTGTGCCCAGTGCCCCCTTTTCACCCAAGGATCCTCTCTTGCCTTCAGCCAGGACCATGGGCAGCAACAAGAGCAAGCCCAAGGATGCCAGCCAGCGGCGGCGCAGCCTGGAGCCCACCGAGAATGCCCACGGTGGTGGTGGAGGGGCCTTCCCCACCTCACAGACCCCCAGCAAGCCAGCCTCTGCCGATGGCCACCGAGGCCCCAACGCGACCTTTGTCCCAGCAGCTGCTGAACCCAAGCTGTTTGGAGGTTTCAACTCCTCGGACACAGTCACCTCCCCGCAGAGGGCGGGGCCGCTGGCTGGTCAGTGGGCCTGGAGTGAGGGTGCTGGGTGTGTGTGTGGGGGTCCTGTCCTTTCCCGCTGGGCAGAGGCCATTCTGCCCTGGCATAGAGACACCCTTTGGGCTGTTTCTTTCTGTTTCTCAAGAGGAAGAGCTAGTCATCATGGGGAACTTTGGGGGTTTTCTTGAGCCTGTGGGTCAGGAGAACTCGGTGAGCTGTGAAGGGTGGGACACCACACACATTTGAGGACACATTTCCTCCCCTGCCCACCCCCCCCATGGCTCTTGGGTTCATGACTCAGATACAGAATGTTAGAAGGTCTAGCGATGTAGGAGTAGAAGAGAACACTAGAAGGGGGAAGCGAGGCTCCAAGAGGGGCCAAAGGACTCCTCAGGACACTGTGGGGACCACATTTGAGGCCATGCCTCATGGTCCATGCCACACACCCCGCTCGGGTCGGTCCTCAGGTAGGTCAGGATAGGGAGCCAGTGTGTGGCCGAGGAGACCCTGTGGGTGACCAGGCTCAGTTTGGGAAAGGGAACTGGCTTCCTGTGAGGTTTGGATCAAAGTTGTTGAGATGCCCCTTGCGCCCTCTTCTGGCTCCTTGGGGCATAGCAGCTCCAGATAAAGGATTCTTAGAGGAACAAACTAAAGGGAAAATAATACCTCAGCACACTCAGAATGTCACACACGTGGGTATATACACACAACCAACAGCTTATTCACAGACACCCTCGGAGTCACAAAGACAGGCACAGACCCACAAACATGCTTGTTTATTAGCCAAGGACATGCTTGTTGGCCCCTACTATGTGCTGGGGACAGCACCTGCAGCATGTCCCCCTGAAATATCCCACCCTCTCCGCAGGTGGAGTGACCACCTTTGTGGCCCTCTACGACTATGAATCGAGGACAGAAACTGACCTGTCCTTCAAGAAGGGGGAGCGGCTCCAGATTGTCAACAACACGTGAGTTGTCTCCTTCCTTGTTGCCGTACAGGACCCCCCTCCCCCCACCTGGGCCAGAGCCACCTCTGAGCGTCCCTAGATGGAGCCTGACCACCCCCGGCCTGGGCCAGAGCCACTGAGCGGCCCTGGCTGGAGCCCGAGAGCATCAGGATGGGCAGTGGGCTGAGTGTCAGGGTCCAGAGTACCTGCAGGCAGGCTGTCAGCTTCCTAGTGGGTGGGAGGGCGATCCAGGTGGGGGTTGTCGACCTGGGGCTCCAGGCAGCCAGGTATCTGGGCCCAGTATGTATAAATGGGGGGGCAGGGAATGAATATTCAGAACCCCAGTCCCAGACCCTGGGGAGAGACATGTGGTCAGGGAAGAACTGGACCCTGATCCCAGGACTATACTCTTATTGTGAGCTGGTGTTGGAAGGCAGGGACATCTAGAGTCCCCAGCTAGGAGGAGAGGGCCCACACTGGGACAGTTGGGATAAAGTATCTGATCTGAAGAAAGGTCAAGATGGGGCATGGGGACAAGCTATGGAGATGAGATGTGGGGGTGGGGGTGGGGAACTGTGAAAGTGTTAGATTCACGTCCAGGATTCCAGCTTTGGAATAAGGTAGGAGGCAGCCTAGAGCCCAACTGGTCTAAGGAAGTCTGGGTGCCTCCTGCAAGCTTTGGGGTCCCTGAGGGCAGGGAACAGGCAGGAGTGAAGCCAGGGTGAATGCGAGGCCCTAACTCTTGGGTGAGGGTTCTCCTGTCCCCTCCCACTTCTCTTGCCCCAAGAACACAGAGAGGAGGTGGGCAGGGCAGGGCTTGGGAGTGGACAAGAGGTGTAATGCTTTATGGGTAACTAGGAGTTCAAACATATGCCCGGTGCAGGAGCAGGGCTGCCAGCAGAGGGCAGGGCAGAGCCTTTGGCCCCACTGCTATCCTGCTGTCCCCTTGGCAGGGGCTCCTGTGGGAGGCCCACCCTTCCCTAGTCCCGGTCCACGCTTGCTTCCTCCAGCCCTCTCTCAGCCTCTCCCTCTTTCTGCTTCTCTCTCGCTGGCCTTTAGGAGGAAGGTGGATGTCAGGTGTGTACGCACTATGGGGGTAGTGGGCTGGGGAAGGGGTGGCGCTTTGCTGGGTTGGAGAGGGGTACTGTTTGCATGTGCTCCCACCCTCAGTGGCCCTGCCTGTGGTCTCTGCCTCCTTTGGCTGCATCCCCCTCCCTCCCCAGCTTTCCCAGCTTAACTTGGCTCCACGCACCAGTTTGACCAGGCCCCAGACCCTGAGACCAGGCTGACGGGGCGGGAGGGTCCTCCCATCGTCTTTCCATTCACCATCCCACCCCCTCCCCATCTTCCTGCCCTCACCTTGAGTGCCAGCTGCCTGCAGGGCCCGTGTGGGGCTGCGAGGAGGTCTTGTCCACACTTCCTGTTACTTAGTATGACCAGAGCCAGCCCTGATCCCCAGTCCAGGCTGCGGGGCAGGCAGAGGCTGGGGCTAGCTCAGCGATAGGGAAGGCCTGTGGTGCACTCTTCTCTGGTGGGGACAGGAGCCCTGAAGGAAGGACAGTTGTCTGGGAGGTGGACGTCTGATTGCAGGAGGAAGGGGAATGGAGGGAGTTGGCACCTGCAGGCCTGCGGAAGGCTAGGGGGCGCTAGAGAGTAGAGTCCGTCCCTGAACATCCCCAAAGGCCTGGCTAAGGAGATGGGACATCAGCATCCCCAAATCAGTCCTGCTTGTTCATGCCTCTCTTGGTGCATGTTACACCTTCTGCCTGAAATACCATCTCTTGCATGTGTGCTCGGCCAATGCCTAGTCACCCCTCACGACCCAGCTCAGGAGCCCCTTCTCAGTGAGGCAGAAGTGAATAGAGGCGTCAGGAATTTTGACCCATGTACTTGCACTCTCTGCTGCTGCCCCACCAAGGTGTAGTGATGAGGTAAAAAGCTGTCTCAATATTGCAGATGAGGAAACTGAGGCTCAGAGAGGTGAAGGCAATTGCCCAAGGTCACACAGCTCCCAAGTGGTAAAGGCAGGAATCTCTCCTCTCCCTCAGACTGTTGTCCAGGGAAGAGACTTCTCCAGCATTCCCTGGCTTGTCAGAGTCCTGGTGCAGCCCTGGCTAGCTCTCATCACCAGCCGGCTAGCTCTCATCACCAGCTCCTTCCATCTGCCTTCCCGGAGGCTGGGGCCTCCATCAGGGCTTCTGTCAATCCCACTTCAGAATTCCCATGGCATGTGGGTGTGTACCCAGCTGCTGGTGGTGAACAGGATGAACCAATCAATAGTGATAAAACTGCTGCCATTGGTCCTGCTTGTGCTGCAGATCAGGTGTGAAGTGGGTCCTGTGCCAAGCGCTTGAGTCCAACGTGACTTTATGGTCTGCACCACCACTGCCCTATGAAGTGGGGACTCTTATACGCTCCATTTTACAGATGAGGAAACTGAGGCCCAGAGAGTTGAAAAGTCTTGTCCAAGGTCACACGGCTAGAATGGCGAAGCTGAGATGGACAGGCAGGGTCCTGGCCTTAGTAGGAGGGCTCAGGGGAGGTGCACAGATGCCAGCAGGAAACAGAGCCACACAGGTGAGGGGACACCAGGATGGTGGCACTACAAGACAGATGGCAGCAATGGGAGGGCAGCTCAGAAAGGACCGTAGCTGCAGCAGATGTGTGGAGCTGGGAGTGGCCAGGGAACTTGATTCTGCCCCTTCCAGCTGCTCTCAGGGGCTGTTTCCTTTCCTCCCTCTGTCTTTCTGTCCAGGCCCTTCCCTCCCTCCTTCCTGCCTCGCTGGGGAGGGTTTGGCCCAGCCTGGAGCTGCCAGCAGGGCTGAAGTGACAGAGCTCCTGTTTTGGAGAGAGGGTCTGCCTCAGGAACCCTTCTCCCCTTCACGACTCTCAAGCCCTCTTTTGCCAGAGGAATTAGTGACACTGGACGTGGAGCTGGTGTTATAGGAGCTGTGTGTGTGAAAGGATCCGGGGGGGCTTAGTGGAAGACGAGCTGACCAAATGGGAGGTGTTCTGATCTCAACTCTGATCCAGGGACCACCCTGCCTGTCCTTCTCGATTGTTGCTTGGGGCTCACGATTCCCTGGGACCGTTCCCCTCCCCTTGTTCATACCTCCCCCTCCCCCTGTTTGAGTGAGGTGGCCTGTGGAATCCAGCCTGAGAAGCCCACCCATGCAGGGCTGGATGCAGGTCAGGGAAGGCGGGGAGCCTGGAGGTGAACCTACCTGTTACTGGGGCTGGGTGAGACCGTCTGGTTCAGGGTCCTCACAGTGGTGACCTCTGGATGACTGGTCCCAGGTCTTAGTCCTCTGAAGTGAGACCCAGGATTCACGGAAACCCCTGAGGTTTGAGGCCTCACTGCCGAGCCTGCTGACCGGGGAATTGGGGCCCCTTGGAGGTGGTCTGCCTCTGGGTTGCGTTCTGAGTTACTCTTTCCTCTTCCACTCAAATTCTAGCAGTTTCTCATGGGGGGGGGGAGCTTTCCAGTGGACAGAGCCAGTCAGTGACACTTGAGCTGTCTGTCCCCTGCCCCCTGGGTACTCTGTTTCCTCTGCCTACCACCAAGTAGGGTCACCTCAGAGCTTCAGACTCAAGGACCCTGCCCTCCTTCTGCCCCCCTCACCTCAGACCACCCAGGCCTGTGGCCTCAGGGCAACTGACCATTTGGTCTACCTGGCCATTGCCTACCCCGTAGCCAGCCTCGGCCCCAGGGCTGCTGGACTCAGGGCTGGCCTCTAGCTCATCTGTTCCCTAAGTGTTCTTCCTGACGAGTCTCATCATCCCAAGTGAATTAAAACTGTCAGTGCCCCAGCATGACACAACTTTCCACAGTGGCCCATAACCCATATCTGCCCAAGGTTTAGCATCCAAAACTGAGGACCCCATGATGCAGAGAGGTGAGGCCAGTTGCCCAAGGCCACACAGCTAGTGGACAGCAAACAGGATGGACAGCTTTAGCTTGGGAACTCCTGGTTCAGCACTTCCCTCTCTGGCCCCACAGGGAAGGGGAGAGGGCTGACAGGGAATGTGTGGTTCCCTTCCCTCCCTTCTGCCTGTCTGATGAGGACCAGGCCTGGGGAAGAGGCCGGATGCAGTAAATCTGGTAGATTAATGCTGCTGTCAGTTCGGGCTCAGGCGCCGGTTAATGGTTAATGACCCTGCCAGACTAGACTGCTGTGGGAAGCTGTGAGGGCCCAGGGGGAGCAGCCAGCTTGCGGCCACCTGTGGCAGTTTTGAGTCTCCCAGACCTTTGAGACCTAGGAGGTGGGAGTTGCTGCTTCCATTTCACAGGCAGGCAAACTGAGGCACAGGGGGGTCATCTCAGCTGAATCAGACTCACCTGCTGACTGCTTGCCACATATTGCCTATAAGGAGGATTCTGGGAATATGATCTCCTTTTTATAGATAAAGAAATGCAGACTTCTGTGACAATGGGACAATCAAAACAAACTTTCAAGGACTATTCAACCTGAGTCCTTCTGATCATATGGAGATTTTTGGAAGTATTTCTTTGAGTTTATTATGTTTAATTTGTGTATAAAAGATGCTTATCTAGATGATAACGTAATTATGATAAAAACAAAAGGGGGGAAATATGGGAAGCTATACTAAATATTTGTAATAAACAGAATGCTATTTAAATAAAAAAAAAAAGAAGAAAGGGGAAAAAAAGAAATGCAGACTCAGAGAGGGCAGGATGCTTGTCCGAGGCCACACAGCAAATTCTGTGGGAGATGAGAGCTGAGCTTCTTTGGTTTAGGAGGGCGTGGAGGGACGCAGTGGATTTAAAGACAGTTGTTTGGCCCTTTTCTGGCTCATGTGTGAGCACCTACTCAGTGCTAGGCCCTCACAATCCCTGTGAGAAGAAAGGCATGAGTATCCCCATCTCACAGATGAGAAAATTGAGGTCCTGGAGAAGCTGGTATCATGTCCAAAGCAGTCTCACCCTGGGGCAAAGCTCCGGGCCATACGCAAAGCTGAGGCCAAGCCATGGGTGGATCGTGAACCCTTTATTAAGATAATATATCCCTGCCCCCTGTGAAATAAAATCCCCCAAACTGGAACGTGAAACCCAGACTTAAGTGTGGGCTGGCCTTTGCTGGCAAAGTTGGGGTAACACCAGGAGGTTGAGTGCCGCTCTCTTCTGGACCCCTCTTAGCCAGCCTCAGGCACGTGCTCTCTCTGAGGGGCACATGCTCTGCTCTCTGGGGCACATGCTCTCTCCGTGGGGCACGTGCTCTCTCTGTGGGGCACGTGTTCTCTGAGGGGGCCGTGCTCTCTCTGTGGGGCACATGCTCTGCTCTCTGGGGCACATGCTCTGCTCTCTGGGGCACGTGTTCTCTCTGAGGGGCACGTGCTCTCTCTGTGGGGCACGTGCTCTCTCTATGGGGCACGTGTTCTCTGGGGGGGCCGTGCTCTCTCTGTGGGGCACGTG